ACAGGGTCTCACTGCGCTGTCCTGGGTGACTGTGAATTGCCACTCTCTTGGATCAGTCTTCCAAGGAGCTGGGATCACAGGCGGCACCCACAGGACGGCTCTTTCTCACCCTCTTGTCTTCCGTTTGCCCTGTGGCTTCTAGCGTCCGTCAGACAGTGAGCACAGAGTGTTAAGTCTTTGTAGCATGGGGTTGTCTTTCTCATGTTTAGGTGTGAACATCATATTTTTACGTTATGTTGGTGATTGCAAAGTTTGTTAAGGAGGAAAATGTCCGTGAGAGTACTTCTCAAATGTGCTTACATTTTAGATCTATTATTGCATCTTTGGATAGGAATGCTTACTAGATATAAGTGAAATATTTTCTCCAATTCTGATTTTGCTTTTTACTCTGTTGTTATTGCCCTCTTATTTTCATTATTCTTTAATTTACCTATTAAGTGAAAAATGATATCGATGTTTATGTATAAATATTTTCTTTAGTTTTGAAAGTTTCATAACTATGTAGGGCACATTATTATTATATTCACTTTCCTTTTATCCTCTGGCGTCCCTTCCCCTCTCCCCTCTCTCATCTTCTCCCACATTATCCCTTAGCGGCTGTACTGATAGAGAAATGTCACTCCCTTTTCCTAAGTCTGTCAGCAGTCATTAGCTTCTCAAAGTGATTAGGGTCTCACTGAGAACTTCTATATTCTTGTAAGGGCCCATCCTGGCTAGAATCCACAGCAGCTCTGTGTTCGAGGTTGCAATAACAATAGCAATGCCCTATGCTCATGATCCCCATCTTCCTTCCCATAAATCCTTGCTGCCATCCTTTTGCAATGGTTTTTGGGCCAGGTGGTTAGGATGCCACAAATGTCCCATTTAAGCTTCTTGGCAGAGAGATCTATGAGGTACCCCCAAAAGAATATAGGGTATAGTCATTGCTCCTGGCTACCCCCAAGGATTTGATGTTAACACCCTACTGGCGAACAGATCACACACGTTGGTTCCAGGGCCCAGAGACAGCAAGATGGAACACACTGGACACTCACACCCACTTGGTCAGTGTTCATGGTGCTGGAAGATGCTATGCAGGTGGCTGAGGAGACAACGTACTAATGACCCCACCCATATGTGTGCCATCAAAGTCAAAATAGTAACTGATTTAGGTTAGACATGTCCATTGATGTAATAGTGGCATGACAATTGTGGACATAACCAGATAACTCCTTGTGGCTGCATTTGAGGCCAGCTCCATGAGAGGGAATATACCCCTGTTAATATACACATGGTCAAAAGCCTATTCCTGGGGAGGATGTGAACCAGAGGGCACAATACACTACCACCGCTTCTTTCAATAAGCATGTAAAAAAAATTTTAAGTTGAGACTAAGTCAAGTGTTTGTGTATTTTTCTTTTTTGACTGTGTGTTTTATGCCAACTGCCAATATAAAGCCAAGCCTGCTGCAGGCCTGTAAGTCTCCCCCACATTTCCGTCTGATATTTCTGCACTTTAGCTTTCATTTAATCAGCAACAAAAAGGACGTTGCTGTATGTTGAAGTGTCCGCGTATGAGAGGGCTCGAGCACCCTTCTGTTTGGGAATGTTCGGTTTTCCTGGCACCGTATGTGCTAGACCGCCATTCCCGCCTGAGTGATCTGGGTACCGTTGACTATGCTGGTGGGAGTGTCTTTCTGTCTGTGCCGTACCGTAGGCCTGTGTTGTCTGACAGCCAGCAGAACCATGCTGCTTTCATTGCTGTAGTTTGGTACTAGGTTCTGCAATGCTGAGATGCAGCCTTTCCTAGTTTGTTGCCAATATTTTTTCTTAATTTTATTTTTGAGATTATAATTCAACTACAATATTTATCATTATTAATAAATATTAAACATTTAGTTTAATATTTAATATTATTTAATTAATTTAATTATTTAATTTATTAAATATTAATATTAATATTATTTATTTTTTGTCTATTCCCTTCAACTGTCCTATATACCCCACCCTGCTCTCCCTCAAATGTTATTGTATGAACATGTTTATATATATATACATATATATTTCTAAATATAACCTGTTCAGGCTGGTAATGCTATCTATCTGTATGTTTTTAGGGTTGACCATCAGACACTGGACAATGAGTTGGTGTACTCTTTTGGCTTTGACATTCTTTCAAGATTCTATATGATTTTTGAAATGGACTTCATTCCCTTTTTCTATGTGTATGTGTGTGCAGTATGTATATATATGGATGGGTTTGCACACAGGTGTTTGTGTGTACGTGTGCCTGAGGTGTTCATGGAGATTCTTCTTTCTTCACTCCTGCACCTTGTTCATCGAGGCTATTGTGTCCATTGGTCAAACTCAGAGCCAGTTTGTGTGGCCAATCTCGAAGGCTGCACTGGGAAGCCAGTCTCTGCTTTGCAACCTGGAATTATCGTTGGTGCTGAGGATGCTGCATTTTACAAGGGTTTTTGGGAAATAAACTCTGTTTCTTTCTTGCATTGTAACTGGCTTAACTACAGAACCATCTCTGTAGCCCTCAAAATAGAATTCTCTAGCTCTGCTCTGTAACTTTAGAATTCTAGGGATTTTCTCAATCTGCAGGTCACTTTCTGTCCTACTGCCAAGTGACCAGTGTAGTTTAATCTTGCTGATATTTTGTATCCCTAAAATGTCTAGTGCTAAGAATCAGGAAATAGTTTTCTCACATAATTAGTGCCACAAATATTAACTACAACCATTCTAGAATGGATATATAGATATTCCATACAGTATCTATTGAAACTACATCCTGAATCCAACCACTCCAATCACACACTCTACTGTAGAGTCACAATGTGGCAGAAGAAAACTGTGTAATGATATTGATTGCACCATTGATTGCAGAAGTGTAAAGGTGATTAAAGAAGAAATTATTGAAAAACTGTCAAGTATAAAGTATGTCACTTTATAATGTCATGCTGAAAATTAAGGATGTGAGACATGAAGGAAACACATCACTTTACCTGGGGTAGAGATAAGGCAGGATCCACACATAGGATCTGTTAGTGTGCAGAACCACAAAGCACGTCTCTATTTATAGGAGAAATACCGGAACACATTCTGTGCTAGTAAGATTCACTGTATACTGGAGGGGCCCAGAGGTTGAAAATACTGGTATATAGAAACAGTGGGGAAAGAACAGATTTGTTTCACGTGTCTGGATGGCAGTGGATTTTTTACCTTTAAGCAAATATCTCATTAAAGTGGAGGTTGACATGTGCAGGAGATTTGTCTCTTCACCAGCATTCTCATCTAAGTCACTGGGTTTACGTGGCTCTGAAAAGTGAGAAGAAAATCATTCAGTGGTTCTGGAAATACATCAGTGATGAAGCACACCTTCCTTCTGGCATTCGGGCACACAGTAAACAATCAGGAAAACACTGTCCTCTCAGCCTTGCCTCTTATCTGGTATTTTACTGAGGTTCATTACCCAGGTGCTTGTCAGACAACAGGAAGGACAGAGCTGGGGGCGGAGGTATTATAATGCAGCACTAGGGAGGCTGAGGCATGGAGAAGGTTGCCAGTCTGCGACATGCTGAGCGTGACTCTGGTCCTGCTGTATGCAGCACCTTTGCCTCAAATAACAAATAGAAATGCCATATACAAATGTTGGAGAAAGAACTTAAAAGGTACAATATGACAATATAAGAATCTTCAAGTGACTAAAATGCAGATTTTCAGATATAGTTCCATCTCTGAATACATTCATTTTCACCCCTGTGGTAGTGGACATTAAGTGCAAGAAGGAAGGGAGATAATAGGAAGTGTTACAGTGTATGTATTTGGACTACAAAGAAAATATAATATGGCTAAAAAGAAAATATAATAGATCAATGCCTGAAGCTGGTGGGAGAGCTGGCCCTGAAGTCATAAGAGCAGGAGTTGTCCTTGTCCCCCACCAGCTGCAACGCTCAGGAGAGCAGGTCCTGCACCTCACGGCACCCCGGGCAGTACGACAGAGCCAACCGTGTTGGCGGAGGTGTGGATGAGCCAGCCCCTAAGCTGTGGGCATGGGAGAGCTGTCCCCACTACTCTGCTCTCATGTGGAGACGTGGGTGGGGGAAAGATAGCCCCCCTACCCTTTGCCCCTTACTGCCTGTGACAGATGAGCAAGCCGACCCTGCCCTTATCAGCTGTGGCACTCAGAAAGTGGGCCCTACTCCTTGCCTTGACCACACAGTCGAGCTGACCCTGTTGGCAGAGGTGGGGGAGAGATAGACCTGGGGGCGTCAGAGTATTATATCTGGCCATGCCCTCCCCATTTCTTAGGTAGCCCTGAGAGGAAGATGCCCTCCCCTCTTAACTCTGCCACCTGTGGTGGGCCAGGGAATTGACCCTCTCCCTCACCAGTTGCCGCACTCGGGAATGTGAACCCCGAACCTCTCTTGGGCGGCACAGTGGAGGTGACCCTGTTGGCAGAGGTGCTCCTACGCTGTACCAGCTTGTCTTAGGGTTTCTATCGCGGTGACAAAACACCATAACCAAAAGCAGGTTGGGGATGAAAGGGTTTGTTCGACTTCCATTTCCACAGCACTGTTCACCATTGAAGGATGGGAACTCAAACAAGGTAGGATCTTAGAGGCAGGAGCTGATGCAGAGGCCATGAAAGGGTACTCTTTACTGGCTTGCTCTCCATGGCTTGCTGAGTGTACTCTGTTACTACTCAGAACTACCAGCTCAGGGATGGCACTGTCAAAAATGGGCTGGGCTATCCCCCCATTGATCACTAATTAAGAAAAGGCCTTACAGCTGGATCGTATGGAGGCACGTTCTCAATTGTGGTTCTCTAGTTGGTGTCAACATAAAAACCAGCCAGAGTGGTCTATCGCTAAGTTTGTGAAGGAGAAAATTGCCTATGAGAATACTTCTCAGTTTTGCTTACATTTTAATCTATCATTACATCTTTGGCTAGGAATCCTTATCAGTTTTGAGTGATAGATTTTCTCCCATCTGTTTCTGCTTTTCCTTATTTTATCGACTTCTTATTTACATCATTCCTTATCTATTAAATGAGGAATGATACTGACATTTATATCGGTCAGGGTTTTCTAGAGGAACGGAAATTATAGAATGAATCTCTCTCTCTCTCTCTCTCTCTATATATATATATATATATATATATATATATATACACACACACCTGTATCTATCATCTATCTATCTATCTATCTATCTATCTATCTATCTATCTATCTATCTATCGGATTTATAAGAATGGCTTATAGGCTGTGGTCCTGTGGTCCAGCTAGCCCAACAGTGGCTGTCTATCAACAGAAGGTCCAAGAATCCAGCAGTTGTTCAGTCCATGACGTTGGATGTCTCATCTGATCTTCAGTATATGCTGGAATCTCAAAGAAGTAGGCTATAATGCCACTAAAAGAACAGACCTGCTGGTGAGAGCAGGAGCAAGCAGGCAAAGAAAGAGCAAGCCTTGCTCTTCCACCTTTTTTTTTTTTTTTTTTTTTTTAAAGAGGCTGCCAACAGCTGTGGCCTAGATTAAAGGTGTATCAGGCCACCTCAAAGATCTGGATTAGAAGTGGATCTTCCCACTTCAAATTCTTTAATTAAGATGTGCTCAGTCATTTGGGTTTTAGTTTATTTCAGATGTAGTCCAACCAAAAATGGCTATCATAAAATTCATGTATAAAATTTAATTTTTAGCTTTAGTTTTAAATGTTATATATATGCATATATATGAATGAATGCTGTGTTATGGTTGTAGCTACCTGTGTGCCGTTATCACACTTCCTGTCATTACATGCCTCATCTTTTCCCAATTCATCCCTCAGTGGCTACAACATTAGAGAAAATACACGTTTTCCTTCTGTAAACCTTAATAGTCATTAGATCATCAAAAGGGATGGAGCCCCATTGGGAACACCTTTGTTCTTGAAGGGGAGTTGAAAGGCCCAATCCTGTCTAGCATCCATTGCTACTGTGTGTTCATGGTTGCAACAGCGATGTTCTGCCTTCATGATGCCTATCTTCCTCCTCACAAATTCCTTCTGTCATCTCTTTTCAATGTTTCTTGGACCATTTGGTTAGGATGATGCAGATAGCCCAGTAAGTTGTTTGCCAGAGAGGTCTAGTCATTTCGTGTTTACTCTGGATTTGCTGTTAATACCCTATCGGTGAGTAAACCACACAGTTTTGTTCCAGCACAGAGAGATAGCAAGGTGTTCACAGCTCTTGAATGTGAAATGCAAGCACCTGTGAAGAAAATGTATTAATGGTCTAACCTGGATGTGTAACGTGTAAGTCACAACACTGAATAAGCATGTAAGGCTTTTTTATTCATCCAATAGTGGCATGTTTAATTGGGGAAAAAAAAACCCCAAACTGCTTGAGATTACATTTGGGGCAAGCTCCATGAGAAGGAGCACACCTGCGGCAGGACACACATGGCCGAAATTCTATCCCTGGGGAGGACATGAACCCAAGGGGTTAATATGCTACCACTGTTTCTTTAAATGAAAATGTACCAAAACTTTAACTCCTTTGAAGCACATTTTGTCTGTTGTTCTCTTTTGGTGGTGTGTTTTACTCCAATGACCAAATACAAGTTCAACTCTAGTATCCTGTAGGTGTTGCTACAGTTTCTTCTAATATTTTTCCCTTTGAGTTTTCATTGGTAAGTATTCTGGTTTATGCTGAAGTATTTTTTGCATATGTTTAGGCTAAGATCTCAGGCTCATGTCTGTTTGGGGATATTCAGTTTTCTCCGCACATAGATACCACATTGCCATTTCCCACTGAGTAATCTGGGTGCCTTTGGCCATGCAGGTGGGAGTTCACTTCCAGGTTCTCGCTTTTCACTGGCCTGCCCTTGTATATCTGTCATTAGAACCATCATGCGTTCATCTCTATAATCTGATATGAAGTTCTGAGTTTGTGATGTGTGACTTCTTAAAGTTTGTTCATGGTTATTTTGGCTTTGACATCTTTTCAAGATTCTATATGGTCTTCAAATGGACTTCTTTTCTCCGATTCAATGTGTGTGTTGTGTGTGTCACCTGCTTATGTCTATGTGTTTTTTGTGTAGGTGTTTTTGGCCACACTCAAATGTGTGTGTGTGTGTGTGTGTGTGTGTGTGTGTGTGTGTGTAGAGTTTTCTTCTGTCACTCCTCTGTCTTATTCACTGAGGCAGTGTCTACTGAAGAAACTCAGCACTTACCCATATGGCTAAATCTAAATAGCTGTCTTGCATTGAGGATCCAGTGTCTGCCTTGCAACTTGGAATTAGAAGTAGGCAGTCATGTGCATCCTGAATTTCACATGTGTTTGACCTGGTTGCTAGTCCTCTTCCTTGTATTGGAAGTCCTTTAACTGCTGAGCCAACTCTGTAGTTCCTAAAATGGACTTTCCTAGTTCTTCAGCATATCTTTGTGATTCTAGGGTTTTCCCCAGTGTCATTTTATGCCCTATTGCCAATTTATTTATATAATTTCATCTCATTAATGTTTTCAATCCATAAAAAGTTGAGTGCTAAGAACCAGGAAATAGTTTTCTCAAACAATTACTGTCATAACTTAACTATAATCATTCTAGAATGAATAAGTAAATATTCCAATTACAGAATCTACTGAATTAAACACATATATGTCCTCAGTCAACAATTCTACTCACATGTTTAACTTTCTAGATGTAAAGTAACACAATATAATGTGTAATGGTTTTGATCACGCTGTTGATTGTAGTCACAAGGTGATTTAAATAGAAAGTATTAAGTGTGGTACCTTCATACTTTAGAACATCTCACCGAATATTAGAGGTGTGAGAGATGAAGGAACCCATCAATGTATCTGGGTCAGATGTAACGGGCTTGGATGCCCAGGACTCTCTTACTGTGCAGAACTACAGAGTCTTCTGCGTGGGTGTCTAGCTACAGAAAAAGCACAGGAACAACTAGGGTACTCACAGTATTTACTATATGGTGAAAGAGCCCACAGGTTGAAGATGGCGGTAAATAGAAGCAATGGGATAATACAGAGGTTTATTACCTACATCTTTATGGCAGTGACTCCTTTACCTTTCAGCTCATTTATTGTAGCAGCCAAATTTGGTATCTGCAGATCAGTTTCAACTTCATCATATCCCTTCTCTAAATTTGTCGTTTTAGATGTCTCTGAAATATAAAAACAACTTCATGTGATGGTAGTTAAATATTACAATTTCTGAAGCACAGCTGTCTTTCCAGCTACTGAAGCAGAGTGGTTTAGCAAGCACACATGAACTTTGTCTTATTTTGTCTTGCCTGGTAGCTGAGAGTATATAAAAGTGTGCTGCAAGGGTATGGGTCAGATAGGAGGAAAGAGAAAGCTGGGAGAGGTTTTCCACATCTATACTCTGAGCACTTGGGAGGCCAAGGCAGGTCAATGGGTATCTTCCTGCCAGTCTCTCTATATTAGAGAGTGACTGGCATTGTTGTATGTATCACTCCTGTAGCAAATAACAGTTGGAATGCTATATACAAATGAAAAGAGATATCTTGATTGAGGGAGCCATTAAAGGGCTATCAAGAAACATGGAACTAGGGAAATGCCCAGGAATTCACAAAGATGACCTCAGTTAAAGCTCTAAGCAACAGTGGAGAAGACGTGTAAACTGGCCTTCCCCTATAATCAGATTGGTGACTCCCTTAATTGTCATCATAGACCCTTCATCCAGCCAGCTGATGGAAGCAGATACAGAGATCCACAGCAAAGCACTGGGCTGATGCTGTGGGACAATGGTCTTGTGCCCTGTAAAGATTTGTCGCTTTTATTGGTTTAATAAAATGCGGATTGGCCAGTAGCCAGGCAGGAAGTATAGGCGGGGCAACCAGAACAGGAGAATTCTGGGAAAAGGAAAGGCTCAGTCTGCAGTCATCACCCAGACCAGAGGAAGCAAGATGAGAATGCCTCACTGATAATAGGTACCAAGCCATGTGGCTAACACAGACAAGAAATATGGGTTAATGTGAGAATTTGTTAATAAGAAGCCTGAGCTAATAGGCCAACAGGTTTATAATTAATGTAATCCTCTATGTGTTTCTTTTGGGACTGAACAGCTGCAGGACCTGGCAGGACAGAAACCTCTGTCAACAGGCCAAGCTACCAGAGACCAGTCCAAGAGAGGGAGGATCAATAATATGAACATAGGGGTCAAGACCATGATGGTGACACTCATAGGAACAGCTGACCTGAGCTAGTACAAGCTCACTGACTATGGACTAATAGCAGGGCAAGATGCATAAGGCCAAATTAGTCCCACTGAGTGTGGGGGGCAGTTGTGAGGCTTGGGCGGTCTGTGAGACCATTGGGGGTGAGACCAGAATTTATCCCTTATGCTTGAACTGGCATCTAGGAGCACATTCTCTTTGGAAGGACACCTTCCTCAGCCTAGATATAGTGGGGAGGGCCTTGGTCTGGCCTCAAAGTGAAGTGTCAGATTTTATTGACTCCCCACAGGAAGCCTTACCCTTTCTGAGGAGTGGAGGGATGGTGGGGTGGTGAAAAGATGGGGCAGGAGGAGGGGAGAGTGTGGGAATGGGAATAGCTATGTAAAATGAGAAAAGATTGTATTAAAAATTCTTAATAAAAAAGGGGAAAAAACAAATGTCACAGAGAAAATGTTGAAAAATAATAGGACAATAATAATAACCATGATTGACTGAAATAAAAAATTCAGCATGTAACAATATATATACCCATCTGCTCATGTGCGCTCAATTTCATAAAACAAGTACTACTCTATGTAAGATTACAGATTAACCCCAGAATAGTAACCATGGGTAACTTCAACATCAACTTGAAACATTAGGTGTGTCACCTGAGAAGCAGTAGAGACATGCGACATTAGAAATTAAATGGACCGAACAGACATCTAGAGGATATTTTGGCAAAACTCTAAAGAATACACATTGTTGTAATCAGACCATGAAGCTTTCCCCAGAATTATCAACACATTAGGAGACAAAGTAAGTCTCAACAAATATAGAAGAACTGAGATAATGCCTTGAATTGTATCTGACCATGACAATTGTATCTGACCATGACAGAATAAAGCTAGGCATGGACTGCAAGAGAAACTACAGAAACTCAGAGACCAAACAACGCACTATTGAATGGTGAGTGAGTCAATGAAGAGCCTCGTAGTTGCTTTGATACGGGAGGGTGGGGGGTGGCGTGGAGTTTTTGATGCTACAACTATTAATTATGGTCACTCTGCAAATTATTTGTTAGTACTTATGAAAATTAAAGGCGTGCGTGTTCCAAATCCAGCGACCCCCTCACATACTCTACTGTATAGAGCAGGAGAATAGCAATGTGTTAGGACACCATAGTCGCCACAACAGAAATGCAAGGACAACATAAAGAGAAAGTCTACACAAATGCTGTTTCTCCATTTTGGAGCAGCATGCAAGCACGCTGAAGGGACAGTTCACCTTGGTTAGAGGTAAGGTGGCTCTGTGCGCAGGATCCTACTACTGTACACAAACAGAAAGCCCCGCAACAGGGGTCGCTGCACAGGAGAAGCATGGAAGGCAAGCTGGGCTTATAAAATTGGCCGTCTGAAGGGGTTCACGGGTTTGAGAATTTGGGTCAATAGGAAACCATAGGAAAGGAATATTTGAATTCACACGTCTGTTTTACAGCGTTCCCTTTACCTTTGGTCTTACGTTTCCTTATAGCAGACATGGACATGTACACAGCACTGGAACGTTGACTGACTTCATCGTAGAAATGAGTCGTTTTAGACAGCTCTGAAAAATGAGAACAGCGTCATTCAGCGACAATAGAAATAAACTATTTTTGAGCACAGTTTCCTCCAACTATTGACACAGAGCGATTGACAAGTCCTTCCAGACTCAGTCTGATGTATCCATGCCTGGCAGACGATATTTCATAAATGTGTATTGTAAGAGTGCAAGTCAGGGAACTAATAAGAGAAGCAGGAGGGCCTGGCCTGTAGTCACCCCGTTTCTTCTTGACATTTTTGGTTTTTTCTTTCTCTTTTTTTCTCTTCCTTTCATTTCCTCTTTATTTTACTTTTATGGTATTAAGGATTGAATACAATTCCTTGCATATGCTGGTTGAGAGCTACACAAATGAGCTACAATTAATTAATTAATTAATTAATTAATTCTTTTGATGGGATGGGGTCTCATGGCCAGACTAGACTTGAACTCTGGGTATTATCAAAGCTGACTTGAAATTGTGATTTTCCTGCAGGACTCTCTGTAGATTCCTGAGGGATCTACAGGGACAGCTATGTAACCCAGAACCAGCCAGTTTTTCTTCCATGTCTCTCTTGGCCCCCCTTCCTGGAAATATCACCCCATGTGTGTGAAGCCTTTTTCTCATTCTGGTTTTGAGCTGAACTTCTCTAATGAGAGGAGACATTCCTATGTTCCTGTAGGTATATAAAACCTTCTCAGGAAGAGCGTTTCTTAGAACATTTCCCATGTGTGTTTTTTTTTGTTTTTGTTTTTGTTTTTGTGAGTTTTGATGTGGCTGAGCCGCAGACCATTGTTAGTCTATCATTGGAAGGTAATTCTTTATGGAACCCAGATAGGGAAATATGTCCCTTTATTTGGATAGCCCTTTTACTTTATTGATATTACCCCATTTTTGTTACCTTTTAAAAGCTACCAAATACAAAATTTAATCCTCCCTGACATGACCAAATTTTAAAATCTGATGAGTCCAAATTTGCCAATATTATTTTTGATGCTAATCCGTTTTATATTGTCAAAACGAGCATCTTATTGGCTATGCCTGCTTGTCCCCATATTTTTGCAGGCGACTCTAACTTGTAAGGTTTGCCTTCAAGTTGATTTATGTTTTGAAAGCGGTTTAGCTTGTGAAACCCTTTCATGCTGCTGTTTGTGGATATACAGGCTTCCCTGAACCATGTGTGGATCTCTCCAGCATGGCTCTGGTCTCTGTGCCCCCTGTATGCATTTGAGAACTGCAATGCCCTCACTGCTGTGGGTTGGTCGTACGCTCTAAGGTTATTAAGTATTATTTTGTTTTCTTACATATTTACAAGGATTCTGTGTGAATGTTAAATGGGCTTTCTATGTATGCAAAAATACCTTTTGCATCCCAGGGACTTCTCTAGAGTTTTTTAAAATCCATTTCCTAGTATGGACATTTAACAATTAAATTTGTGCTTATGTTTTTTTTTTTCCCCACACAAAGTTTGTTTCTCGATGTGACACTTAGAATTGAGTTTTTAATTTATTCTCTGGCTGAATTATATTAATTGTAAATTATTTGTCAATATGAATTAAATTTAAAAGCACACATGTATTTTCCCCACAAATCACATTACACAGTCTATCGTATAGAAACATTAGTGAAATAAGACAATTGCACACGACAGCTACTGAAGCACTGATTATTGACCCCTGCGATAAACACTGAAGACTTAAAGTGTAAGAAGGCATTAAAGTGGCTGCTGGGTAAGTTACCGCACATTCTCCTTTTAGAGCATCGTGCAAAAAAGAACGATGTGAGGGATGAAAGAAGTCTATCCATTTACCTGAGTCAAGGCAAGTAGGGCTTACTTACGCACAGGATGCCAAACTTTACAGAGCCACATCCTCGCACAAGCACATGCATGCACTCTCAAGAATCATGGGACATACTGTGTCCACAATACTGTCTGTTGGGCCCACAGGTTTGAAGGCGGATATTCGTAAAAAGCACCAGCATGAATGGTACGGAGTTCTCTCCCACACATCTGTAGTCTCACAACTCCGTTACCTGCAGTGAGGTGTTTGTTTGTGGCAGAGGTCGAACCACGCAAATTATAGTAAACTATGGCATCTTCGTCATTTAAGTTCACAGGTTGCTCTGGAAAATGAGAACAATCTCAATAAATTACATCAGAAGTAAAGTCATTTCAATTTTTTAAAAAGTTAAAATAAATCCTAATTCCCTTCTGAAGTCGTTCACTCATTTTTAGTTATTCTAGATGCTGCAGCTTAGCCAGCACAAATCAAGTCTTTCAGCTTTTTCTTACCCTAGCTGTTTGTGTATGTTATAATAGCACTCTATAAGGGTGTCTGTTGAGGAACAAAGAATTAACACAAAGCTGGCTAACTACTCAGTGCTAGTGAAGCCGTGTTTACTGGAGAAGAATCTTAAGGCTCTAAATTACTTACTAGGCCCTATTAGCCCACAGATAAGCAGCTAAGTGTGGCTTTCATCCCCAGTCAAGGAAACTTCTCTTTGTCACAGAGACTACTGCAGGAAACCACAACCAATCAAAACGCAAGAGCATGGAGCCCAAGCCCAATGGCGACAAAGAGCTCTCACACCTAAGGCACAAGGGACATTGCAGAAGAAGGGGTGAAAAGATTGTAAGAACCGGAGAGGTCAGGGAGTTTGCTGTGAGACTATGTCACCCAGGAACATCAGAAACTAGACACCCATAAAGTCTCACCAACACGACTGCTCAAACGTGAGATGAACAAGGACGAAACCAAAGAACATGCCAAAGTTGACAAGAAAAACCCATGGGGCCTCAAGCCTATACAAGAAACCACAGGCATTCAGGTAAAGACAGGAGCATGAGAGTTAGTCCTCCCCAGAGATGAACACACCCTTTGGTGGTCCAGTGCCAAATGGTCATCCTTGAAAACCTACAAACAATTAACATTATATAGACTAAACAGGTTATATTTAGGAATATCTATGCATATAAAATACATATACGTATTCAATAGCAATTAATGACTAAAGAGGCCATGGATTTGAAGGAGACCTGGGAGGGGCATGTGGGAGGTCTTGGAGAAACCGGAGGGAAGGGAGAAATGTTACATTTAAATTACAATCTCAATAATATACGACAACAAAAATAAATATAGTAGACACACTCACAGTCTTTGCTATACATTGCCTCTTATATTACTTCTTAGGATATCATCTAAGGTGTTTAATGCTCCCACTTCCTCATCTACACATGGAAATGATAGCAGTGCCGTTACCCAGAGTGGATAAAGATTTAAATATTGAAACGATGGAAAATACTCAGATCAGGACATAGAATTTCACAAGTGGTTAGTAAATGTTGGCTATTATTACTGGGGAACATGACATTTATTCCTTGCTTGCTGTTTTACCTGTGCTATTCTCTGACATGGGAGCTGGATCTTAACACAATGGCATTTTATTCCACTAAATACCCGTGATGGACTCTCAGAGATTTCAGTTGTAGTTATGCTTGACATGTGTCAAGGGGCAACTTTGGCTGCCATGTAGGAAGCACTACTAGCGATGTATTTCAGTAAAAATAATATCTTCAAAGCTACTGCTCTGCTAGAAAACTTAAGGAAATCTTATTTGAAGGATTTAGTTTTTTTTCTTTTAAAAGGATATGGCAATTCTGAACACATATGCAACAAATACAGGCATACCCAATTTCATAAAACAAATACTACTAAATGAAAAATCACAAGTGAATTCTAATACAGCAATAGTGGGTGACTTCAACGCTCACTCTTACCATTAGACATATTGACTGGACACACAAAAGAAATCAACACTAAGCTGGGTGTGGTGGCGCATGCCTTTAATCCTATGGTCCAGGAAGTGGCGGAAAGTGAATCTCACAGAGTGGATCTCTGTGAGTTCAAGGTCAGTCTGCTATACTTAGTGAGTTTCAGAGCAGTCAGGGCTACACAGAGAGACCTTGTCGTGGAAAAAAACCAATAAGCAACATCAACACACTTTAGTTAAATAACATCATAAAGTAAATGAACTAGAAGACCAAAACAGTAAAGAATATATATTGTTATAATCAGCCATGAAGCTTTCACCAGAATTGTCAACACATTAGAAAATGAAGTAAGTCTCAACAGATAGAGGAAAATTGAGATAACATCCTGTATTCTATCTAACCACAATGGAGTATAACTAGATATCAACAGTAACTCTTACTACAGAAACGCATGGAGACTAAACAACACACTACTGAATTCTGGGTGGCTCACAGAAACATCTTATAGTAGCTTTGATACTTGGATATAGTTTTCATGCTCTTATTGCCACAGCTACTAATTACAGTCATCCGACAAAGTATTTGTGAGTACCTATGAAAATTAAAAGCACGCATGCTCTTAATCCAGCCACCCTACTCGCACACTCAATTGTATAAAGTAGTACAGTAACATTGGGAGCTCTCTTGGTTGCAGTTGCAACAACATAAATGTTAGGGTTCCATAAGGAGGAATGATAATGAAGGGTTATGTTTTTTCATTAGGAACATAACATTAGAAGCTCAAGCTGTGACATGAAGGAAATCCACCAGTTCACCAGAGTTAGAAGTCAGGGAATCTACACCCAGGATCCTACCACTGCACAGGAAGACAAAGCCCTCCGCACAGGCTTGGAACACAATTCAGCTGTTTGCTGGAAAAAGGACTCACGGGTTTGGATATTCCAGAAAACAGTAACAATGGGAAAGGATTTTTTTTTTTTTGAGACAGGGTTTCCTGTAGCTTTGGAGCCTTTCCTGGAGTTTGCTCTGTAGACCAGGCTGGCCTCGCGCTCACAGAGATCCACCTGCCTTTGCTTCCCGAGTGCTGGGATTAAAGGCGTGCATCATCACTGCCCAATGGGAACGAAATGTTCTAATTCACACATATGTACTACAACATCTCCTTTACCTTCAGTCCCAAGTTTCTTTGCAGCAGACCTTGACTTTCTCAGGTTATTTGAAAGTGAAGTTTTAGACAGCTCTGAAAAAATGAAGACAAAATCATTCTGCAGCGATGGAAATAAACTATTTCTGAGCACAGCTTCCTCCAGCTATTGACACAGAGTGCTGCCAAGCACCAGTAGACTCTGCCCGATTTATCCTTGCCTGGCAGATGCAATTTTATAAACATGCATTCAGGGATCTAAGAGAGCAGCGGGATGCCCCGCAGGCTTGCAGTCACGCGGTGCGTCTACTGCCTACTTCTTGACACCCTTGAAATTATCGTTTTCTCCCTTCTCTCTTTTCCGTCTCCACTTCCCTTCCTTTCCTCTTTTTGTGGTACTGAGGACTGAACATAACTCCCTGTGTATGCTGGTTGAGAGTTTCACGACGGAGGCTCCCTCCATCCCCAACATTCTACACACTTTTTACACTGAGATGGGGTCTCATGGCCAAACTAGACTTGAACTATGTTTGCTGTCAAAACTGACCTGAACTTGTGATTTTCCCGCATTATTCTCCCAGGGAGCTTGAGTGATTTGCGTAGACTTCCAGGACCAGCTATTTCCTCCCCCACTTTCCCTTTTCACTCTGCCTCTTTTCCTGCTATTAATAATATTCAAGGAGGTAAAGTATTTTTCTCATTAAGGTTGATTTCTATGTTCCTGTAGGTTTGTAACACTGTCTCAGGAGTGTCTTTCAGACTATTTCCCATTGTCTTTATGAGGCTTCTTGTGGTTTAACTTCAGACCTTCTTTAACTATGTAATTCTTTCTCGAATGTAGATATGAAGTCATGACCTCTCTCTGTGCATAGCCTTTTGAGTCCACTGGTACCTTCCCATTTTATTTGCTTTCTTTTTGACTAACATTTGTATCAATTGTACAAAATTGAATTTTCAATCTGAATTTGCCTACATGTATATTTCTGACCATCTCCTCAATGCTAATTAAAAATACATCCTAAGGCGAACATCTTGTATACTTATGCACACTTTTTTCTAAATATTTTTCCGGTTGGCATTAATTTGTAAGGTAATTAGTTATTAAATTCTCTAGGGTTTCTCTTATTTTACTGTTTCTCGTTATTATTTAGACTGTTACGGTTTCTGATGATGCCGTATGAATTTCTACTTTTCTACTCCAGTAAGATATCTTTGTAATTCTAGGAATTTCCCCACAGGTTGTAGCTAATTTCTGTGTTAGTGTCAGCTAACCAATACAGTTCAATATTGTTACTATTTTCAATTCATAAAATCTAGTGCTAAGAATTATGTAAAAGTTTTTCATGCCTTTATTTCCACAATTAGCAACAGTAATTATAGAATGCATATAGAAGTATCTATGGACAATAAAAACATGCATTTTCTAAATACAATAATCTCACTCATATACTCTACTCTACGAGACACAATAGCATTGTAAAATGTGATTAGCAGGGTATGTTGACACACACCTTTAGTCCTTACACTTGGGAAGCAGAGGCAGTCCATCTCTACGAGTTCTAGTCCAGTCTGCCTATATAGTGAGTTCCGGACCTGCTGTGGCTGCATAGTTAAGTCCCTGTCTCAATGAAAAAGTGAATGATTTTGATGGCACTATTGATTGTAGCTGCAACCACAGAGATGTTTATTTTAAAAGGGACTACTGATAAGTAATATATTCTCCTTTCAGAACGTTACAAAGAAAATGTAAAGTGTAAGACCTGAGCAAAGTCGATCAATTTATCTGGGGTAGAGGTAAGGGGGTCTGTGCACAGGGTTCTATTTCTGATCACCATCACATTACTGTCCACATGAGTCTATTTACAGGAAAAGGTTGTTTGTTGGAAGAGCCCACACTGAAGGATACTGGCACATAGAAACGGTATGAGCATGATACAGAGTTTCATTTTAAACACGTATTACAGTGTTTCACTTACCTTTAAGGACTTTGATTTTTGGAATGGAGTCAAGCGTCTTCATATTGTTTGGAAGTTCATCACTTCTTTCAAATGACGTTACAGGGTTATGCTGTTCTGAAAAAGTGAATAAGATTATTAACTGATACAGTAAGAAAGCCCTAACTTCAAAGTTTACAGTTGCAAAAATCAGCTCATTAATACATGTTTTTATCTAAACACATATAAATTGAAATTAAACCACATTACTTCCCCCTTCCCTTTTCTGCCTTCAGGCCTTCCCATGTTATTTCCCCCTCTCTCCAGGTGCCCCATTCTGAAATTAATAGCTTCCTTTTCTTTGATTATCATCATCATCATCATCACTTATATATGCACAAATATAGAAATACAATCTGCTGTGTCTGTTTTTGTTGTTGTATGTATATGGTTTCAGGGCTCACACTTTATAATAAGAAATCAGGGAGCTCATGTCTAGAGAGGCTAATTTCCCCTCTCTCTGTAGTCATTACATTCCTTCAGTTCTTTGTCTGGGGGTGGGGCCCTGTGAGAATTTTTTCCCTCTTCTGTTTTAGCATGCTTAATGATATTGTAGTTGTTCAGGACTTGAAAAGATCGGTCCTCGTCTCCTCTAACCCTATAGCAGTTTACACGAAGCAGTTTAATCAGCAAACATAGATTCTCTTTGAATTTACGTTGTCTGGTTGTTGTTGTTTTATTTAAGTTTATTATAACAGTGCAAGTTGGGAGCTAGGGAGACAAGCTAGGGATCAAGGGCTCGCCCTACAAGCGTGTAGACCTGAGATCAGCTTTCCAGCACCCGTCTGTAAAGTTCAGAGGTGGGGCAAGTGATTGTACTCCTAGTGCTAGGACACGACTCGAGAGGCTCCCCGAGGCTTGCTGTGCAGACAATCTAGCTCTGTGTGAGACACTGTGCCTCAGAAAATGGGCTTTTATACTGAAAGTATAAAATTTAATATGAGGCTCCAGGGCTCTGTTCCAAATGCCTACTCTAACTCTGTAGAAGTTTATTGAGTTCTATAGACTTCAAGTCTGGTTAATTTGATTGAGTGGTAGTTCTTATTTTTTTGCAAGGTTTCTTAAACAATAAATTTTATAAAATCAAAAAAGAAGAACAAATATGTTTGAGAGTGATATATATGGATATCAAACTTTGGCTTCCACAGGAATGCACACACGCATACAGACCTACACATACATAGGAACGTGTACACATGTAACCCCCCACATACTCATAGAATATCATCTATAAGGGGGAAGAATAGAGCTGGGAGAGAGGTTTTGCGTGCCTGTCCTCCTGGCACTCAGAGACTGCTGCAAAGAGGTGGGCATCTGCCTGCCAGCCTGCCTGCCCACTAAATGTGACTTCAGCCTTGCTACACACAGCATCCCTGTCTCAGAAAACAGAGACGCTATATGCAAATGTCAGAGGAAGAACTTAAAAACAAACAAACAAAAATAAGCTGTAGTACAATAAACAAACCCGCGAGTGACCGGAACACTTTTTAGGATAGTTTATACCCATGTCAAGCTTTTTACCTGCTTTTTAAATATACGGTGACATTCTCAGAATGAAAACTACAGGGCAAGATGGAGAGAGAACATGAAACACTGCCATGTGTGAATTTGGAAAACAGTGTTAAATGCAAAGTGTAACAATGCAGTAGTTTCAGTATCTTCATTTGGGGGCAAATGCTAAGTAAAGTAGAACGTGCGTCTGTTCAAAGACTCGCCTCAAGGTTTGTTGGCCAAGTTTGTAAATTTAAAAACATTTTACTTTGTGTTTCTTGCACAAAAGTGAAACATTTAAACTTCCACTTACCGAGGCACGTGTGTGTGTGTGTGTGTGTGTGTGTGTGTGTGTGTGTGTGTGTGTGTTGTGTGTTGTGTGTGTGTGCGAACACATGAGGCTGGGGTTCTCTATCTAATTCCAAGTTGGATGCCCTTGTGGGAAACTTATCTGTCCTCACATTGCTTCCACCCAGCACGTGGAAGGAGAGAATTATCCATTTTCTCTAATCAAAAATCAACATGACGTTCTTGAGGGGCTGAGCCGGCACCTTTATTGCCAATGAAAGGGCTGTAGATGGAAGCCTCTCAAGCCGGCTGGAGCTCACGGGACAGTTTATAATCCTTCTTTTACTTCCTTGACAGCTTTACCAACATTTGTCCTTACTCTGGGTTCATTTGTTTCATATACTAAAGGAGAAACTAAGGCTTTGTGTGTGCTAGGCAAGGACCTCCATTTTCCTTCTACACAACAGAGAAATGCAAGGGCCTTGACCTCACTATGCACCTTCGTGTGCTAGAACCTGTGATCCTCCTGTCTCAGCCTTCCTGTTAGTAGGAAGGATTACTCATAATGCTATCTTTTATATTTATTTTTTATTGTTGGTTTCTCAAGACAGGTTTTCTCTGTGTAGCCCTGACTGTCCTAGAACTCTCTCTGTAGTCCAGGCTGGCTCTGCCTTCCGAGAGCTGGGATTAGAGGTGTGCACCACCACTGCCTGGTGCATCTTTTATTTTTTCCTTTCACCATGATCTTTCCTCTCTCTCTTTCCCTTCCTGATAATACCCAGTCAAGGTTATTAAGTGGTTTTCTTCCTTGTAGTTTTGGGTTGTTTCCCAGTCATTAGTGATGTTTACCAGGAATGCCTATTAGCATGTTTTTCAAGGGGTTTACTTGAGCTTTATCATTGTTGAGATTTGGGTATCTATTGGCAGGTATCTATTGGCATATCTTTGGAAATGTTAGCCCGTTAACAGTATCTGATTTGGATCCACTCGGAGGAGTCTCTTTAGTGTAAAGTTAGTTCATTAAAGAACTCCAAACATTTATTTAGTGGCTGGAAAGAGATGCTCAGTTTAGGTTAAAACATTTGGTGTTCTTGCAAACAAATAGAGGACTTGGGGTTCGAGTCTCTGTACCTACATGATGGCTAATGACCATCCATACCTCCAGTCAGAAGGAATCAAAGCCCCCTTCTGGCCTCTCCAGGCACCACAGTGCACATAAATACATGGAGGCAAAACACTTATACATATAAGATAAATTGCTAAAAATATGTATTTATTTGGATGTGTCGGTGTGTGCACACATGGAAATTGGAGCATAACTTTTGAGAATTAGTTTTCTTCTTCTACTGTATGTACATTCTGTATGTATGTATCTATGTATGTTTGGATGTTCCAAGGTTTGACTGAGGGTATCAGGCTTGGGCAAACAAGCACCTTGACGTATTAAGCTATCTGGCTAGCGCCAATTCAATTCATTTTTTATAAGCATTTATTAAGTGATGTGAAAAGCTTTAAACGCTTGTGACGTCAAATTTTCCATATTATTTTCTTTTCTGACAGTGTCTCTGTGGCCAGTTCAAAACTACAGTATCAAATTTATTATCATGTATGTTTTATCCTGTTTTCTTTTAATGTTTTTACAATTCAGTTCTCGCATGTGTTTCCTTGATTCAAGCTGAGCTATTTTTGAAAAGAGTCCAAGCCCAGGTCTCAGTTTTGTGCTTCTGCTTAGGGATGCCATTTTTCCCAGCACGATGTATGACAAACTGTCGTTCTCACTGAGCTTGGTTGGTGCCCTTCACCAGGCGCTTTACTTCCCATTCCCTTTTCTATTCCATGGCCTGCCTGGAATCTGTCTATATGCCAGAACCATGATGCCTGCGGCTTGGTAGCATGTTTGGGCTTTTGGAAGTGTGACTCTTCATAAATTGTTCTTTTTATACCATTTTGATTATTACTGCTTTTCAAGAGTTCATATAAAGTTGAAAATGGACTTCACAAAACGTCTTTCAAATTCTGACAAGGATTTTCCTTACTCTCTCCACCACTTCCTGCTGTTTTTATATTTACCAGCATGATTTAATGTCTGCCATAGTTTCATCCTGTAAAAAGCCTAGTGCTGGATACATTAATGAAATATAATATTCTTAGGCACATGGGCACAACCATTTATTACACTTTTCAAGAAATTATTAGGTAACGCCTATTAAAATTAAAAGCATATATGTGCCCTTAGTTCAACAATTCCTTTTAAAACCTACTTCATTGAAACATAAGTAACACAATAAAAAAGTGTGCAAGCTACTTATAACTCCATCAATTATGGTCACAACAGAAATATAAGGGCAACTCAGTAAAGGACCTACTGATGAGTGTGGTACACTCTCGCACCAGAACATCATGCAGAAAAGGACAGGTATGAGACAGGAAACAAATCTAACGACTTATCTGGGTCACATGCAGTGGAGTTTACACACTGCATCTTATCCTCTAAGGAACCACAAAGCCCTCTGCACACGCATCTGTTTGCAGGGGAAGTGTGAGGACACATGTGGAGCTTGCAACACTGACTGCTTGTTGTGAGGGGCCCACAGATTTGAGCAGATTGGAACATGGAATAAAGTTTTATTTCACATGTTTGTATTACACTGTTTTATTTTACCTCGATGGCCATAGGTGTTTGCAAGGGAGGATGGAGTGTGCAGACTATTTAGAAACTCAAAACTTTTGTCAAGTTTTAGTTTTCTTTGCTCTGAAGTCCAGGAACAATATCATTCAATTATACTGAGAAACTGTTTTAACTTTGAAAAAGTTCAAATAAATCTCAATCTCTCTGCAAACCACAGCTTCCTTTCACCATTTTCAGTGGTTTGGGTAAAGGTCTGACACAGAGCTGGTCTAGTCTGAGTTTCCCTTTCCTTTCCACAAAAGTGCAAGTCAGGAAAGTTACAAAATTGCTGTCTCTCTCCCTCGCTCTCTGTCTCTTGCTCTCTGTCTCTCTTTGTCTCTGTCGTTCTCTTTGTGTGTATGCATAGCTCTAGTCCTAGGAGATTGGAGGCTAAAGCAGGAGGAGATCCTAACAAATGCTATTCTGATATCACTTGAACCCTGTTAAGAAACAAGATACACACATGAAAATGTTCAGTAAGCATTTAGAGGCAAATGCTTTAATACAAAAGCAGAATGTCTGAAAGTTACTCAGTGGGTAGAATGCTTGTCTGACATACACAAAGACTCTGGCTTAGTACTGCTCCGTATAAACTTGGCATTGTGTTTAATGCTATGACATAAAGTCAGGTACATCACATGTTCAAGGTCATTTTCAGTTACAAAGCCAATTGTCGGCCAGTCTAGGAAACATGAGAGCCTAATTCAAAACCCACACAGGAAACAAAATGACAGAAAACAGTCCAGAACAATTTTAGCAAATGTTCTTCTACTTATGACTGCACACATCAGCTCAAAGAATACACAATTGGCCTTGCCTTTTAGAGTCAAACCTTTGACGCTCTGATAAAAGTGTTTTATCCTGTAATCATTTTCATTCAACACACAAGAGCAGACCTTTCCCTCTGTATGCTGTGAATATATTTTGTCACCATTGGTTAATAAAGAAGTAGTTTTGGACTACGGAGGGCAAAACACAGAATATAGTAGGTGGGGTCAGGGAGATGCTATGTTGCTGCTGAAAGCGGATGCTGAACCCTTATCGGTAAGCCACAGCCTCGTGGTGATACACAGATGAATAGAAATGGGTTAATTTAAGATGTGAGAGCTAGTTAGGAATACGCCTGATCCATTGGCCAAACAGTGTTGAAATTATATAGTTTCTGTGTGATTAGGGTCTGGAAGCTGGGAAACTGAACGTGCAGTCTCTTCTTACAGAGTCTGTCGTCATTTCTCTATAATCAGAGAGTGAACATGCAGATATGGGTTACTGAGACTGAGTAGTCACTCACGCTGTGAGTAGCCTGCTGGAGCTCCAGTGATGCTTCCACCCTTGCTAATCATAACATTTGCTGTATTTATTTATTCCTATACCTTTGTTTTGCTTCTTTGAAATCCCGAGAATTGACTGTCCGTGTTTCTGTACGCTAGACAAGTGCTCTACCATTAAGCAACAGCAACCCTGACTTCATATTCTTTCTCTTTTGGGACAGGTTCTAGGTTGTTCAGTCTGGTCCTGACCTCACTCTGTATCTAAGGCTCATGTGAACTCTCAGCCTTCACAGTACCTGGAATTACAGGTCTGTTCCACTAGGTCTATCAGATTTCTCTCTTTCTTCTTCCCCCTTCCCCTTTATTTGTGATTTCAGCCGTTCATGATATGCTATCTGGCTGCAGTTTGGGATAATTTCCAAATGATTAGTGATATCTACCTTTTGATCTTTTGTGTATCTCTAGTTGTCACGCGATCTTCTTAGGAGACGTGTCTATTAGAGCAGTTGGCTCAGTTTTATCAGAATTTTGTTGCTCACCTTTAGATTTATGTTGATACATATTTTCATATCTTACCCCGTTTCTTCTACGCCTTTGAGGTCATTGTAAAAATGCAGTGCCAAATCTTGTGTCATGCAGGGTTTTCCCCATTATCTTGTAAAATTTCTACAGTTTAGGTCTTACTTATAGGTCTTTGCTTTGTGGTGAGCTATTTTTGAATGCTTCATCTTCCCGACTGGGGATTCAGTTTCCCCTGCACCATCTGCTGTGGGATGCTTTTTCTCACTGAGTGGCCTCAGTGGCCTTGACCATGTACTTGAAGGGAGGTCACTCCTGGGATTTCTTTGATATTTCATTGCTCTACAGGTCATCTGTCAGGATGCCAGACTTATTTTGTGGGAGGGGACAGTATTTGGAACAGGCCACAAAGATGCTCCTGGATCTACACTTGATACTAAGTTTTTAAATTCTATATGAATACTTTTCTGTACCCCCTGGTGGCATGCTGAATGTTTTTCCTTTTATTGAAAATAGATTATTTTCTTATACAATGTATCCTGATTATAGTCTCTCCTCTCTCTACTTCCTTCAGGTCCTCCCTACCTCTCCTCCAGATCCATTCCCTTTCTGTTTCTCATTAGAAAGGAACATCTTCTAAGAGGTAACAACCAAACATGTTAAAATAAAATACGATGAAAAAAACTATCATTTGAGGTTGGACACGGTAACTGGACAGGTGGAAAGGAGTCCCAAGAGTAGGCACAAGAGTCAGAGACACACTTGTTCTCACTCTCAGGACTTCTGTAAAAACGTCAAGTTAGAAGCTGTAATAGATATGCAGAGGACATGTTGTAGACCCATGTCGGCCCTGGGCTTGCTGTTTCTTTCTCCGTGAGCTCATATGTACCTTGCTTAGTTGATTCACAGGGCATTGTTCTCCTGGTGTCCTCCATCTCCTCAGCTTCTTACTCTCTTTCCACCTCCTCTTCCAAGGGATTCCCTGAGCTCTGAGGGGAAGGGTTTGATGCCAGACATGTAATGTCTGAGCTTAGTAGCATTTTTGACAATTATTAAGTGTGACTCTTCCCAGTTTGTTCTTTCCCAAGGCTCCGTAGAGTAGGATAGTGTCTAAAGTTTCCATAGAAATCTTACAATGGACTTTTCTATTGCAAGAGGTTTTGCAATTCCAGGAACTTTCCCCAGAGTCTCTAGATCTCAGCTCTGTGGTATTGTCATCTGAACAGCATAATTGTCTATTCTTACAACTTACAAGTAGTCCAGTGCTGGCTAACATATCTGGAGATTCTGGGCATTTATGGGCAAAATTGTTAACTGCATTTTTTCTCAAAAGTATTTGGGAGTATCTATTAAACTTTAAAATATATCTTTAACCCACAAATCCTACTTCTAGTCTTTTGCAGAAATGTGAGCAGCCTAATAGAAACGTGCGCAGTGACATTCACTGCACCCCTGGTGGAACTGCGAAAAACACAAAAAATGAAGGCCTTTGTAACAACAAAGCCCTCCACACAGGAAACAGGGCCAGCACCCGCCAGGCTCCTAACCCTGGCTCTCTGTCCGAGGGTCCAAAGGCTGGGGACACTGGTGAGCAGGAGTGGGGGGAACGAAATGCACTGGTTAGTCACACACCTGGAATACAGTGACTCCTTTACCTTTAAGCTTCTGCTTCTTGGTGGACGATGTCGAAGTGCGTAGGTTACTTCGAGACTCAGCTCCTTTTTTCCTTAACTTTCGTGTTTTAGATGTCCCTGAAAGATGAGAAAAAACGTCATTACGTTTTACGAAGACTAAACTAACTTCATCCTTTGAAAGGACAAGTTTTGTGCCTCTTCTGAAGCACAGTGATTTTGATGAGGCCGCTGAAGCAGCGCACATATATGAATTTTACTTGCCTGATAGTCATAAAACTGTATGTAAGGAAAATTGGCAAGCGGAGTTAAGTGTGTTGGCACATGTCTGCTCGTGTTTCTGCCACAGGGGGGCGCTGATGAGGTAAAGAGAGACTTGGGGGCCAGGTTGGCCCAAAGAGTGAATTTAATGCCAGCCTTGCTGTACATAGAAAGATCTTGTGTCAAATAATAAATCATAACACTGGAGGGCTGAAGACATTGTTCGGTTGATGGGATGCTTGGCTACTGCCCACAAGTCCCTGAGTTCAGTCCCCAGCGCAATGCCTACCAGACAAGACAGTACACGTCTGTAATCCCAGCACTCAGGAGGTGGATGCAGGAGGATCAGAAGTTTCAGGTAACTGTCGGCTACATAAGGAGTTTAAGGCCTGCTCGAGGTATATGAGACTGTTTTCAAACCTCTTCCCATATATAAAACCCCAAACAAACAAACAAACAAAAACCCCAAAATATATATAGTGAATATAGTTTCAGTGTTTACTCACTTGAAAACAAATGCTGAAATTAAAAAGCATAATCTGAACAGCAGGAGTGTTTTATATCTACAATTTCTTTTTTTCTTAATTTTGCTTTTATTGAGCTATACATTTTTCTCTACTCTCCTTTCTTCCTCCCCTCCCCCGTGACCCCTACACTCCCAGTTTACTCAGGAGATCTTGTCTTTTTCACTTTCCTATGTATATTCATGTATGACTCTCTTAGGGTCCTCTTTGTTGTCTGGTTTCTCTGGGGTTGTGGTCTGTAGGTTGACTTTGCTTTATGTTTTAAAGCCACTTATGAATCAATATATATTACATTTGTATTATATTAGGTTCCCCAGCTGTTAGTCTAGAGTCTGTGAACTCCCAAGAGCTCAGGTCAGCTAAGACCCCAATCTATACTAGCTCTGGGGGTTACAGATATGCACAGTTACAACCCACTTTTTCTTTTCTTTTTAAAAACTCATTTATCTATCTATCTATCTATCTATCTATCTATCTATCTATCTATCTAT